CAACCTCCATAAAGCGTGCTGTCACATTGACAATACTGATCTTGCTAATATTATTTGCATCCATATGTGGAAAGTATTATCCCCCATACTTTTATGATCAATATACCTCATAAAGTATTAAACTAACTGAGTAACCCACCACAGTGAAGACTGTATCTTCTGTAACAATTTGATCTTACCTGTAAAGTAGCATGCCCCACGTGACAGACTATTATTTGAGAGTAAACTATCATGGTTATGTCTCTTACTCCTCGTGGAGGAGCATAGGTCGTCAACCAGCATTCTCTACTTAACTATGCTCTGGATAATATTTTCCAGTTGTTTTCAGTTGCTATTCATCCTTTAAATGTCTGTTTCCCAACAGGATGTGCTCTTTAGTCTTCTTTTTTACGTTTCCATTCAGGATTGCAAGTTGGCGTTTACCTCATGATGCATTTCGGTGATTTTCGTAACGTATGTTCTATCCACTTTCATTTCTTTCCCTAGTTTTCTCTTCAGCTGGAAAATGGTTTGTTCTCTCCCACAGTAGACTGTTGTTGATTATATCCCATAAATAAATCCTTAGAATGAATAGCCCTGTATATCTTTGACATTCTTGTTGACCTTTACTGTGCAAATCCTAATTGAGGGCTCTTGGTCACGCATCCGTACCAGATCACGAGTGGGTACGCCATGATACGCATCCCTTTCAGCTGCCAGCCAGCTTAGATCAAACGCTTCTCGACATATCCATAGCTTTTTAAACATATTTTCGAACGGTTTCATTTCCGGCTTTGTGTTTAACTCGGTTGGTATCCTTCGAATAAAAAGTTGTTACGTGCAAAGGCGTTGTCACACTTCAAATACCTGTGGCGTCTTTAAGTTTAAGCAAGTAAAAGGGATGCTTAATTTTTTATCCACAACGAGTTAATCAGTCACATCTGTAACTTTTTATTTATTTCAATCACTCCTGTTTGATTGCTCTCAGTTTTAATCTGCATTACATCCTGAAAGCTGTCTTATTGTGTCACTATCATTTGAGCATACGCGTTCAAATTCTGTGACTTCATGTATCTTTTGGAGACAGAACTAAATTTGTTGTTTGTTGGAAGCAACAGTTATTGCTGATACACTTATAGTCTCATAGGCTTTTAGCATTTTGCTGACTTAATATCTTGTGCTTCTGATTATTAACTTTGGGTGGAATAAATTGTCTTATGGGCTGAGGTAGAATTGAGTTCCTTGCTTGGCAAGGAAGTTTCTAACCTGTGACGAACAGTCGGTTTCGTGTTTTTCGTGTTTTTCCGTGATGGATACTCCATGATTTGGTCGTATCTGACATTAGGGGTGTAGAGTTTCTATGTAACCCACTACACAAAACCGCAGTTACTTTACATGTCTTATATCTTTCGTAATTGTTGGTGATAAAAATAGTATCGTATTGTCACATTACTGCTTTCGATTTATTTCTGTCAGTGTGTACAAAGTCAACGATACTCTGGTAACTTTATTATACTCTAAGGTACGTCCGAGTAAGTAAAATTAGCTCAGCAGCTCTTGCGTCAACTGAAATATCACGGACTTTCGAAATGACGTATAATATTTTGACAATTTGCTAATTAGTTTAATAGACTATCACTCCCAAAACAGTGCAAAGTGTTCCCGATACTGTTTTCAGTACTCGATTTTATCATGTATGTTCTCAGTAGACACCTCGCAGTGATAGATGATTAGTCTTGATTGCATATACATTCGTCGAGTTTGAAAAATATTTTATTTCACTGTCGAATCGGTGACTTAATAAAACGACATCATGTTTATTACATCTATAAATCGAGGTTTACTTGATTGTCGCAACTCACACATACTGCTGATTTAACTCTGAGTAGACAGCATGAGGGAACAGACTGATCAGTATGAACTAAACACGATTTTTCATGAACTTACTCTTGGCGTCAAAAACCGGTCATATATCCATATTCTTACTTGAAATCATCTAAGCACTTGAAGGAGGTGGATTCACTACGAGCTAATGTACTGGTCATCGATGATTTTATTTTCCGAACACCATCCATAGAATAATGGCTTTTTACCTGAACGGACATCGGAAACAGTTTGTTAACACCCATTATGGGTCATCAGAATATAAAAAGACACTGACGATGAACTATCCACTTGAAAATAAAATGTTGCTGCCGGGTAAACTCTAAGTGTTTTCTGTCATGAGAACTGGTCATTCTAAGACTTAAAAACTTCATACTGGTGGTTTTAATCTTAATAACATATTTCATTGCCATATTTATCATGCTTTCGACATTTGAATGTACCTGCTAATTCCACTCAGGAATAGTTCGTTGCTATTGTCAATAAATCGTATCGGTGAATTAAGACCAAATATAAGTCGTTAGTCGCACGGCTGGCAGAAGTGATCCAGCATTTTAAAACGATTCTGTAGCGAGTAGGTACATTTTACTGTAAAATCAATCATTGCATAGTATTTTCCGATTTGAGCTGTTTTATCATCATAGATCTTATAACAACTGTCACAAAAAAATGAAGGTTGAAGGTTTTCGGTCTTCTGAGTCTGCACTTGGAGATAATGAATTCGAATTATGTTAGGAAATTCGAAGGTTTAGAAGACTGTAAGCAGAAGATTAAAAATTTTTGGTGGCGATGAAGAAAATATTCAAAATTAACGTACACTGTAATAAGTAATCTTTGGTTAGAATTCGACCTCACATATGTGCAGAACGATATTCTTTAACCCATTTTGAAATGATCACAAGGGAGACTATCCCATAGGTTGACTAATTTCCATGACTCTGACTCGTTAGGCCTCGTTATTTCCGACATATTCCGCAGTTCATGAAGTAAAGCGACTAAATATCACTGAAAGGTGTTCTCATTGTCCCTTAAGTTTTTCAGGTCGATATGCAAGCAAAAATGATGGAGGTTCGCGCTTAACTCACGTTTCAACCTGAAAATTGGGCCTAAACACGTAGATTCTCTTCACAGAAAAGATGAGTGTCCGAACTTGTAGAAAAAACACAACCTTTAAACGTATTAAAGTAAGAGATATTTCCATCAGAGAAGTGCAGGAACACTGAATGAATTCACAGTATCTGAATCAATTCATGGACCAGAAAGAGTGTTGCCACAAATACATAATCTTGTGATAATCAAGTACCTTGGGTTTGTGAACAAATAAAATCTTACCAAATTTGTAGTTAATTAGGGAAGAACACAGAGGACACCGTCCTGTTGGCTAGTTCATAGTGTGTCTCTGATCAATCTGCATCGAATTATTGTGGCACTGACGATTTCCGACAAACTATGCAGCGTCCAGTCGTCTGCTGACTGTCTATCACAGGAACAACTTAGCTTCATCGATGATATGACATGGTATCAGCGATGATCTATGAGGGTATGTAGGTGCTGAGACACTCGCTGAAGACATGTGGGCTCCTAATATAACATAGAAAGTAGTATTCAGAAGAAGAGATGGTTGTCGACCCTTGAGTTCAATAATGTCGAAGGCGGTCAAAAACATTATAAATGACTAGATGTAGTTTTAGAGGTAAAAAATTACACACTTTAACCATTATCCAACATGAAGATGGTATTAAAAGCAAATCAATCGGTGAACTTATTGAACTCTCGAAGATTATCCTGGCAACGCCTCTTAGCGTGATATTCTCACACACGCTAAGTTGAGGTAAACTACAACCTGCTGACTGCGGTGGACAGATGGACAAGCATCCTTGATCACAAGGGGAAGATTGATCTCATCTACCTAGATTTCTCAAAAGCTTTTGATGAGGTGAACCATACATGTCTTATCAATAAGCTCAAACGATTGGGTATCAGACCATCTCTAATCGATTGGCTCACTTCATACCTAAAAAATCGGCATTTTAAGGTCAGGGTTAATTTCACTTTATCTCAGGCTATGGAATGTCCTAGTGAGGTCCCCCAGGGCTCAGTACTAGGACCTCTTTTCTTCTTGATTTATATAAATGATCTTCCTCAACAGGTAACGTCAGACTTAGTACTTTTTGCCGACGACGTGAAACTTTGGAGAGAGATACGCAACCAAGACAACATACAGGCACTTCAGGAGGATCTGACTCGACTTCAAAGTTGGGCAGACGATAACGGACTTACCTTTAACACTTCAAAGTGTAAAGTAGTCCATCTGCTATATGTCGCAGACTACAGTTATAACTTAGGTAACTCCTCTCTAGTAGTATCCCAAGTCGAAAAAGATTTAGGAGTCTTGGTGCCCTACGATTTAAAGTCTTAGGCTAACTGTGACAAAAATGCCTTCCGAGCAAACCTTGCACTGGTAACATTGAAGTGCATTTTTGGCCAGTTTGACAGAAAAAATTTCCATATAATCTTCAATAGTTTTATCCGTCCCCATTTAGAGTACGGAAACATAGTATCTCCCCACTCACTCCAAAGGGGTAAGGACACCCTGGAGCGTATCCAACGGCGAGCCACGAAATCAGTTCGAGGACTCAAATTTAAACCTCACGAAGAGCGCCTCCATTCACTTAACCTTTACCCATTAGAGTACAGACGTCTTAGTGGTGACCTTCTGATGGCTTATAGTATCCTTAACACTTCTGGACATCCTCTCAAACACCTACTTGAGCTTAGTTCCAACACTAACCTAAGAGGTAACATCAAAAACTGGAAACACAACACAGCGGAACGCACTGTAGACACAACTTCTACTCCTTAAGAGTTAACAAATGCTGGAATTCGCTGCCGGCCGCGCTAGTCCAAGCGAGTTCCCAGGAGTCCTTTAAGAGGCAATTTGATCTATTCTTAAGGACTAAGGATATTATCGCACTATGATTTATTAATTTCTTTTCCTGTTTTATTGTTAACATACCTAGGTTCCTGCCTGGAGGATTTGGTGATCCCCTGCTACTAGATACGGAAGCCTGTTAAGCGAAAGCTTCTTCTTTTCCGTCCACATCCATTTGAACCTTTTGAACCATTTCAAATGCTTAGTAACCTCCGTCAATGGACGAAACGACTGAAGCGCTACCTTCCTTATTCGTTGGCGTTGACCTTGTACGCACTTATGGTTTTTGTCTGCTTAATTTTTGCCTAGGTTTTAGAAAAACCCTCATGATTTATATAATTTCAGCTCTGAAATTTGTGATATGGTGAATTATATTTTTTCAGGTCGTAACAATCGGTTGCTCGAGCAAGCAATATTGTATATACAGGGGAAAAGAGATAAAGAGGGAATACTGAAGAAAAGCGGCAAAGGTCTCCTTTTTCACCTGCCTTGTTAAAATAACGTGAAACTCTAACTCTTTGTCATTCTATTTTTGAAATGTCGCAGAATTGTCCACTTTTCGCTTAATCGCACTCCAAATTGCCTACCTTCCTGCTAGCCCAAACTGTCTCCTATGTTCGCAATTTTTCCCACTACAAAACACACGACGACTACATTCAAAAACGACATATAGGTAAAGACACTCGTCGGCAAGCAGTAACATTGAAAGTCAAGTTAAATATTAAAGTACACTTTAATAATAACGCCTTCACTACAATTGTAGTGTTAATATTCCTAATAAAAATAATCTTGTGAATTCTGAAATTTAATAAACGCCAAGATTTACAACATTGTCTAACAGTTATAGTTCGTTAAGCAACTCTCGATCTGAAGTATAAATTACGGTTACGTTCGTTAATACTGAACACCACCTGTAGAATAGTAGCGGAAAGTTATAACCATGGAGTAGTACATACATGTTCTTTTTTTCTCTGAGATACTTTTACAGTTTGTCCCATGTCATGAAAACACCCTTGCGTCCCAATGTCATGCAGTTTAGCAATTTCTTTTTCGGTGACGGATGATGATAAGAACCGCGATGTTAGTTCGTCTAATGATTAGAAAAGGGGAAACATATAGTTCTTAAAGCTTATTCTTACCATGCGCTGACTTTTTGACTTATGTGATACGTCTGAACTAATAAAGTGTGTGTTCTGAAAGCCTGTTTGATTTCATATGCAATTATGAATTATGATACCTTCTTAATTAATAATCCATTACCTGTAACTTCTACAGATCTTCGTGAATGACAGTGGAAATTTGCACTTACGATAAAAATACGTAACGAGCATATGTCTGTTATTAATCTCCTTGTAAACCATGATGTTATTGCTTGCCAATGAATGTCCCTAACCATATGTCGTTTTTGAATGTAGTCAGTAGTAGTCGTCGTGTGTTTTGTGATGGGAATAAATGCGAACATAGGAGACAGTTTGGGCTAGCAGGAAGGTAGGCAATTTGGAGTGCGATTAAGCGAAAAGTGGACAATTCTGCGACATTTCAAAAATAGAGTGACAAAGAGTTAGAGTTTCACGTTATTTTATCAAGGCAGATGAAAAAGAAGACTTTTGGGTTCGTTTCTCTTTTTACTGACATAATTTTCTTGTTTTCCCTTTTTTGATTATTTCGGTTAATATGGAAAATTAGTAGTTTTACCCATGAGCTGTTTTTCTCACTGTTATTATTCTCCTACAGCTACTTCAGTCATTTCAAAGTACGAAGTATTGGCTTCGTTCGTATTTGTCTTATTGCTCGCACTCATCAAACAGGTAGTTTTTTTGTCTCTGAATTCATAGTTTAACTACATATTCCACTTGTTAAAAGTCTGTGGTTGTACGACTTTTGTTTCTTTGTTTTCATAAAAATTCTCATGTTTAGCATTCACATATGGATGACACATGCAGTATTGTTATTGAGGATTTGGCAAATACACATAACGTGAAACCGGAATCAGTGGAAACATGGTTAGCACCATTTGGTGTTATTAAATGTAAGTGTCAAACTGTGACAGAATCTTGAACTTCTTAGGTTTATTTCGAGTTCTAAGTTTCAGTTCCTACTTATTTTAGATGATTTTCTATTTGACTCCATCCTTGTGGTGACTAAAGGGAATGTATTAAATATCGAACGGCCAAACACACGAATAATGGGAAAAATTATTTTTGAAATAAGACTCATTTACTGAAAGCATAGGCAAAACATTATGCAGTATTTCATTATTGATTATAAGTTGTTTCATGACTTCAATGTTAGATTTATTCAAACACTAATTCTTTGTCACTCACTGAACTTGGTACGAAATAGAAGTGAAGTGACTTTAGCTACAGAAGCATTAAAACTAAGGGCGAATGGCCAACTTTTTTATAGTAGTTTTAAACTTCTTACTATCACGTAAAAATAATCGTACACTTGGTATTTGTAGTAAATGATGATTGTATCCTCAATGGTGACTGGCTTCAAGGTAGACATTTTGTATTTTTAGTAAAATGTTGTAACCTATAGAGTCAACCAAATAGAGATTATATATAGGTAACTGTTTTGAAACTTTTCTACTTCCATTTGTCTCCTTTTATAATCAGAACTGCCTTGTTCATTCTTGGATACAAGATTTTAACGTTTGTTATGCCATTAACCTAACTGGCTCCTTACACGAAGCACCTATTTGTACATTTCGTTTTTAAATGAGTTTTAAATTAACTGAAACTTTTAATTTAGAGAATTTTAAGAATACTAGTTTATTACTTTTCATCCCAATATATAGGTACAGTAATTTACCTTACGTTTTCACTACCCATGTTTTTGCAGTCGTATGCTAGCTTCTTGCTACATTTTTCACGAAAGCAAAATAAACTAACACCAAATGAACTTTATCTCCTATTAACCTGTACTCTTGTTTGTTTGTCGATTGCGTGTGTAGCTTTTTTCCTTTCATAATATTGTAATTGAACTTTGTATTACTCGTTTTTTGGTGTATCCTATTGTACTAGAATTTATATATACTACAAATTCTCGTTTCAAATGTCTACTTATCCAAGTAATACACGATTAGGATATTTTAAGAAAACTTCAGATTGAGCAAACTTAACTGTTGACGGATCTACTTTCGGTTAAAGAAAGTTCTCAGGAAATATTTACTTGGTAAATAATTATTTCCATATTGAAATACCATTATTGGCTACTATTATAGTTATGAATAAATTGTAATTTTCTTGACATTTCTGTCTAAACTTCAACAACCTTGATTTTATAGTCTTTTAGGTAGGAGTGAATGTTTAAGTTTTCGGTATAACTATACCGTACCGACAAACGAATAAAATTTCGGTTCTTGTGTTTTGAGCGAAATTCGAAAAACGAAGAATAGCTTAGACTCCATTAACAGCTAACTAAAATCTGCCAAACTTTTTACAAAAATGCCTGAAAATGATAAACGTGAGAAGACAAAAAGTAGGGAGACACTTAAGTGTCTCTATGAGAGTGGTTTATTTTGCATGAAAGATAATGAAAAACCAATGGAATTAAGATGTATGCAACATTTTATGATTTATGACCTTTTTGAGGTAAATCATAGGTTCTTGATGCTTGAAATCAAAGAACCAACTGCATAAGTATTCTTATGCAGATGGCTATAAAGCACTTCCGTCTTAACACTAACTCATAACCCCAAATATTTTTGGTTTTCTGAACCAAATTGTTCATTTATGCCATCTAAACTCTTATCGTCTAATGGTTTAATGAAAGTTTTCAAGATCATATGTGGAGTTACTGAATGCTGGTGACAAGTATAATTATACACAGTTGCTTTGTAAGTATTCGGCATTGATCATTAGTAGGTAAAAATCTTGTCCTTCAGCCAGTGAGTTACAGGTCAAAACCTTGCAGCACTTCATTTAGGATAAATGTTTATTATCAATATGTGACTAGAAACCGGTCACAAATATATACTCCTTAAACGAGTTGCTATAAATTTAGTTTTCAGTGGATGTATTTATATCTTTTTAGCTATATCTATTTACCGACGTGTGATCTTCGTGGAGTTCGAAAGTCCTTCAGCGGCGGAAAATGTCATAACTAGTGAAAATGGGAAGATGTTTCAGAATAGTTATGTGTCCATACGAAGTCCGCAACCATGGGACTTGATGGTTGCTGGAGATCTTGTTACTAAATACGAGGTGCCAACTTCATCTGAAGCCAATAAAGAAGCTGAAGTGGAAGTAAAAGACGAAAATGCATCTAATGGCAATGTTCATATGGAGGTTGAGGAGTGAGTTTATTTTCACTAGTCTATCGTTTATAAGCGTCTCTGTCATTTGGAGCGATAGTTCTCTTACTTATTATCCTTTGACGAGAAATTGCAATTCTGTATTCTGTTGGAGTTGTGACACCGTGCATTCAGCACTTTTACTTGCAAAAATCAAGTTAAGTATCGATCACCAGTGTTGTAACGTGTGGGTGTGTGACTGCAGGTTTTAGATACGCAGCGTATTTATCGATCGCGATCTGTGACAGTGACACGGAAAACACGTAAGGATGACCTAGTGCCCTGATTGGCCCTGCTTCGCTGTCTAGCCCCAGCCAGTTGAGTCAAGAACACAAGTCACAGCCTCTGGGTTATGAATCATTATATTTCAAACATACTTTGTTTATATACCAACCAAGCATACCACATCGTACCATAAAATAGGAAACAACATTTACAAAATATTTAACAAGTGAAATAAACATCGACCAATAAGAAATGTACATTTAAGGTTCAAGGACACCATTGGACTTAACATGATAATTATTGGTCTCTTTCTCCGACTATCCTAACAACCAGGACGCAGCTTCATGTTGATTTTGTCAGTGGGGCATTATTGTCCAAATACTTTATGTTGTGGTAGAAAGTCTATCTCATGGCTGCTTAGATAGGGAACCAGGGGCTTACTGGTTAGGGCATTCGACTTTAGGCTACTAAGTCCCTCACACTTAAGTTCTGGTTGATACCCAGGTGAATAAGATAACTGTCATAAAATGAATTGTCGCTGTTTTGGAGAAGTATTTGGATATATCTCCCGAAAAACATACCTAAAGTTTCTAAAGGTTTTCTGCTGATGACCTCCCCCTATAATTATTTCTGAGTAAGTTTGATTAGTGTTTTCTATCTTTAGCAGTAGTGTTGCTAATAAATCATACTTTCTTGATTGAAGCACTATTACTATGGATTGTGTTCATTACTGTAAGTCGACATCTCACTCTGTGATGTGTGGTAGTGGAAGTATAACTGGTTGTTGAGTGTGGGCAAACAGCCACAGCCTACGGACTATTAAATATGTGCTTTTCCTTCTTATCATTAATTTCTACTCTGGGCTCACTGTGTGCGACTACTTACAGTTGTATTTAATTAAGTATTCTCTAGTGTTAATCTGATTCTCTATTTTGGGTCGCGAATCCTGGTTCTGATATAAAGTGATTAGTCTTATTAATGTATTATCGTAATATACATGTGAGAGGAAAAAAATTATTGTAAACCACCAGTTACATTACTCTGCCGTATTTATTGATACTCCCTTGTATGTTGTTGACATAAAACCTTGAGCTTAGGTTTTATGCTAATCAAATATCTCAATGGGTCTGATCGAAACGCGCAGTACATTCTGTTAAGTCACCAAGTATTGATACCATTTGTAAAAGTTGTTAGATTTTCATAATAGCATCTTCACAGTGTTGTACATCAGTAATTGTAGACTGTTGGTAACACGGCACAGAATCAATCACAATAACTTGAGCGAATTCAACACATATCTTTAAAATGTGAAACATTTTATTGCTCATAAATTTAAATGACTAGTTGTTCATACCTATACAATTTGACTTTCTTTCCTTTATTATTGTACTTATTCCCTAATTGTGATAATGATGATATTTTAGGGTAAAAAAATTAATCACACATATAAAATATTTGGATAAAGATGAACTCTGGACGTTGTATAATGCATTACAAGATATGCGAAATGAAAGGGGAGCGAAAACTAAAGTTAAAACTCGTAAGTTTCATATTTCTGCAGAGTACAGCTGATCTTTTGAGCCATCTATCTCCCATAAAATTACTAGGAAGTTTAATTTTTAATTTACTTACTATTTATTTAACCATAATTGAATTTTGTTAATAAGTTGAGATTTGACTCAGTAGTACAAATAACTGGGTTGTAGTTGAAAGGAATACTAGGTGTTTTTAGTAGCCACTAATCAGTTCTTGTAATTCAGTCACCATTCTAGTGTGACTGAATTGTTATTTTAAGATGTGCATAGAACTTAAGTGTTATTCTTAGCTAAGAGACTAACTTCACAGTCGATTAGGTGTTGAAAGAGAAAGCCAATGAGTATATATATAGGCTTCTAAATTTAACACTATTATTATTATTATTATTATTATTATTATTATTATTATTATTATTATTACTATTACTATTATTGTTATTATTATTATCATCAGCTTTATTCAATATTATATTTTTGGTGCAATATAGAATTCTCAGCGCAAAGTATTTCAACATGTTTCCGTTTCTTTCTTCTTGGTCGGTCCTGGCGATAAATATTGAGTGATCGCCAGTTAGATGTTAGCAGTTCAGTAAATGAATATCCGAATAATGTGCATTTTTTTCGTTGTATATTACCAGCAACCACATTGTCTCTTATTGAGTTTTTGTAACTTTGACAACGAAAGGTTGTACACTTTTCAGAAACGCAATCGAATAGGTTATGCGATTAATAAACATAATGATATATTAAAACAAACAAAATAGATAACTTGTTCAGATATCTAGATGGCAGGAACAGGTAGCCCAGATGCTCAAGCAGGCCGCCCTTTATAGACAGAGCTGGAGTTATTAATTTTACCACACTGATTTGTGTCCTAATGGGGGGACTTCACAAGGGCACCTTATTTGGTTGACGCGAGCTACCATAGCGAGTAATGTCATAATTTATACATCAATCACTATAATTACTTCTGACAGAAAGATAAAGCATAATTATTTTTTTGATTTTTCACCTATGAATCAAATAGACATTATGTCTAATATTTTTTTAAAATACTTTTTTCTCACTAACAAACCCTTCAAGTTCCTTCTGGTCGACCTTGGCTTGATTCAATAGGCAAAACTCTATTCACTGAAAGAACTGAAACATTGCACAAATTAGAATTAGAAGATAGTAAAATAAATCGTCGTCGTTTTATTCAATGTGACAAACTATACACTGAAGCCAGTAAAGAATGTGAAAAAGCATGGTTCAATATAATTGACCAAGAAATTAATACGTGTAATGCTCCTATACTTCCGGAGGGTAAGTATGTTCTTTTTGTTGCAAACAATGACTTAAAATTTGAAAAACATTCGACCATTTTTTACTAGAAAATATTTTCTCACTCACTTCAAATTAAGTTATGTTAGCAAGCAATCAAATTGTTATGTTCTGCTACTGGTAAATATGATCCTGCTCGCGAACTCAACTTGTTACTCAAGTGAGAACATTCAGAGTGAAACGTAAGTATTTTTTGGCAAACAACAGAGAAAACACTACAAATTCATATATATACCGTAAATATTCAAGCCGTACTATCCTACCAATATGCTGTCTCATTGCTTGGAAAAGGATACCGCGTTTTGCCCAATCATGTAGGCTTATCACCTGGCCGGTGTTTTACTGGGCCACTGTATTACAAATCATAAAAAAATAATTTTGTCTTATTCGAGATTTGTCAGCTAAACTTGTTTTTATAGACTTTTCTGTTTTTAGAATGGCTCTTGGTGTTTGCATAGCTACACTACAGATTGTCGAAATCCTGGTTAATGTGCACCAGTTGAAATTTAATTTAACGACTAACTGTCTTCTTTTAAGATATATGTTATGTTCCCTGTCTTCGCCAATAATTTGACTAGTGAAATTTCTATACCCACTGACGACTAATAAATCCATAGAAAATTCATCCGTTCTCAAAACAATCAATCAGAAAGACTAATCAAGTGACTTGTGTACCTTGTATTATTCAAACTCAAAAACTCATATGATTTTATACATGTAACACTCAAAACTGCAACACACGATAAATAAAAGTCTCAATACGCACATACATAGGAATTTGTGATACAAAGTTAAAGGACAGGTGTATGATTGGCTCACTGTAGTAAATAGACGGCAAAGATTTATCAATAGTTAATGACTCAAATGAAGGCTTATAATTCAATGTAAAAATACCTTCGATCACTTGTTGTCTAAAATTTATGTACAAATTGATTTCCTCAGGAAAAGATTTTTGGGTTCGATCATTTATATATATATATATATATATATATATATATATATATATATATATATACATATGGATCACATGGAATCCTGAAGGCCAAAGGAGGAGAGGAAGACCAAAGAACACATTACGCCGAGAAATGGAGACAGACATGAGAAGAATGAACAACAATTGGATCGGACTAGAAAGGAAGGCCCAGGACAGAGTGGGATGGAGAATGCTGGTCAGCAGCCTATGCTCCGTTGGGAGTAACAGTCTTAACACAACACACAGGATATCGTATCGACATACCCTTTTTCCATAGAGGATTTTAATTAAAGTTCTTATTCATCAATGTTAGTGAGGATAATAACACTAATTGTGCTGATGAATATACAACCAACTAACAGACTCGTTCATACGAAGTAAAGATATAGAAACAATAATGAGAAATGACGACGCAGTTAAACGACCTAACTTCTGAAGGCTTTCAGAAATATTTTGAACAGTGAAAACGGAGTTGAGACACATGTATCACCACAAATAGAGGAGTTCCATAATATGGTTAAACGGCCGTCCACTGTTTCTAGGTTTCAGTTGTAGTTTAGTTAAAATTAGTTCAGGATTTAAACTATGAAATACATTTGTTGTAACCCCAGTTATTATTGAACAGAATAGTATGGAGAATTAATGAGTACGTTTTGACGTTAGTCAGAAATAATTTCATGTATAATTTCTGATAATCAGAAGTAGATAGTTATCTACCCGCTACCTACGCACAAAAAATGACGGGATTTTGATTCCTCGTCTATCACAATAGGTATTTAAAGAATTTTTATGACGCCAGATAAAATAACGTTCATCCAAAATAATGTGCAGCATTTTTAAGTACATGTTGAATAACTTGCTTTGCGAAATGTGTCATTCTGCCAAGTTTGCGATCCATGATACAGAAAGCAAACATCTATAGACAACAAGAAAAAAACTTAGAACTACTGATTGTAACCCTTGATATGACTGTAAAGGCTATAATTTGGTAATCGAAACAGATTCTCACTGGTAATATACAAATAAGCTACACATATGATTTCTACCTCCAGAATCTTTCATCTCACTGAACCAGCGAAGATTCTGACTTTGATATTGGTTGACAGTTGTTTTGAGTACCATATGTTCTTCAACTGTAGGAATGCGGCCGTTGCTTTGCTAATCCTTGCCTTGACGCCTGCGTCAAGTCCTCCTTGTTCGTCGATGATGCTGCCAAAGTACGTAAAACTTTCCACCTGTTCCAGAGTTTCTCCATCAGATTTGATTTGGTTGGTGTTCTCTGTGCTGTATTCGAGGATATGAAGTGTGGCAATTTGGACCGATACATGTATGTTCCTGGTCCTACGTTGTAACTGACTGACTGATTCGAGGATATTGCTTCTTCACTTGTGTATGTTGAGGCCTACTGATGCAGAGGCTGCTGCTACACTAGTTGTCTTCATCTGCATCTGTTCATGTGTATGGGATAGAGAAGGGCCAGGTCATCTTCGAAGTCCAAATCATCTGGTTGATTCCGAGCTCTCCATTGTATTTCATGCTTTCCCTCAGATGTGGAAGTCTTCATAATCCAGTCAACCACCAGGAGAAAGTGAAAGGAGGAAAATAATCAGTCTTGTCTGACTCCGGTCCTTAGCTGTTCTCCATACACGACTTTGCACTGTAATCGATGGTGTGAATTCCGTATGATATTGAAGATTTTCTGAGGTACACCATAGCGTCGAAGAAGTTTCCATGAAACCCTCCTATCTACACTGTCAAGTGCATTCTCATAATCAGTGAAGTTGATGTATAGTGATGAATTCCATTCAGTTGACTGTTCAATGATGATCCCTAGTATCGCAGTTTCGTCTGTGCACGACCAATCATTACGGAATCCAGTCTATTAGTCTCGAAGTTGGAAAACAAAAAAGAATAATAATAAATGCTCTTCGTAAAATTCATAAAATATTTTTAAACAATTTCAAGAACTGTTCATCATTGCATTGAATACTTTGACACAAAGACTCGCTTTAACTGAATAAATTTAAGCCACCTCATTAACATGGAATCTATTCAGTGATAAAAGGCAAATGTGGAAATAAGTTATGGATAACAACCAATTAAAGTACACATCAGAGTTGACGATTTCGAACATTAGAATTTTCATAACTTACGAACAACAATTAACTGATTTTATGATATAAACGTAAAATAATTTAGTAAACAAGTGACACCTGGAAATTAAACCATAAGATTTTGAGGAAAACGATTGTATGCGTTAATTAACTAAAAAAAGAGATAAATTCTCATTGGAACGATACAAAATATTCACTGAAACCAAGATAAGCAGTTTTAAACTCATCATTTGATCAATTTCAAACTTCCAGAAAGAGAAACTTCCTGGAAGATCGCTTAATAGATTTTATTATTTTATTTTATTTATTTGAACACATAAATATTGGTACAAGAGAGCGCCAATATATATGCGCCACACAAAACAATGGGAATTCGAAGAGAAGTAGAAAGAGAAAAAAAACTAAGGAACGCAAAAGAAAAAGAGAACAATGACGACGTGAATTCCACGTCGCTTAATAGAACTGCTAAATTAATATCAATAATATGAATATTTATCAAAATACTATTCTAAGTTATTGGAAAAGGATATGAATTATTTATGTAAATCTGTATTACTACTACTACCTTGGGTGAGGGTATTAGTTTTAGTGCTAGCAAATAAATCTCCTTAAGAATCATCTAAGGGATTTTAAATAATAATATTGAAACTTTGTTAAAAATGGCACTTAGTATGAAATCACTATAAAAATATTCAAGCGGTTGATTAGTATAGAAATTTCCTAGAATAAAACTAACTTAAAACCCATGGCGATAAGATCAAAAGTTACATGATAATAACTAGACAACACAGTGAAATAAAATTTAAGAAACTAAAATAAAAAAACGATTTATAATTATCAGTAACATAAAATAAAATGTTACGCGATAACATATCAGAAACTGAATCCGTCAGGATCGCAAGGAACTGACAATTCTGTCTTTCTGAATAAATCAACTAGATTTCGATAATTTTAATCTAGGTAGATGGCTTCCACAGAATGTAATGAATTCGGAGCTGTTTGTTTACTTGTTGATTATTTTGGAAGATTTTAAAATTTCAATATTGTATCCACTACTAAAGCAAATAAAGGATAATCCCACTGTTGAAAACATATTGACTTTTTAGTCTCAATTTATATGGAATGTGGTGAGAGAGATACGAACTATAACCGTGCTTCCTAGTCCTTCAGAGTATGTATATGTATATATGTATGCACATATATACAAATTCACAAATACAGTTAAAGGTAAGATGAAGTTTGAATCTTCGAATTTTTGTCTTGAACAACAAGCAATTCGTATGGTACAGATAAACTAATTTAGCAGCTGGACGCATCATTTTCAATACAACACTTAGTCTAGAATTCTGTTGAAGATATTTATAATATTAAAGATTCCCATTGTGAAAATTAGAACAACACATATAAGCGAACAATTGTTTTTAATTAGATCGTCATCAGGCTTTACTGTAATATACTTATTCTATTTCATAGTGATTATTGACCCATATTGCCTTGATTGGTTTAAAATTTTCGTATAAATATTCTTGTATATTAGAGTAAAGCCTGATGACGATCTAATAGAAGATATTTATACTGGTTAATTAGTAGGCTTATAAAACTTCATTTTAAGAAAACTTTTCATCACAGGCTAACATAAGCCATACAGTTATTAAAAGACAAATACCAACCTCTGATTTATCCTCGTGTTAAATAAATACATTGTCAGCACCATACGAGATTGAACTCAAGGCCTTCAGGTCTTTGAGCGAGCACGATACAACACAAATGAGTCGATATCCAGCAATCCATTTTCGGATTTAATTTTATGTCTTATCCAGTGTTGTTAATGACTAGTGGCCTTATTTCTAACGCGTCTGGTTCAACTGTTCTCACTAGTATTTTTTTGTAAGTCTATTTTGGCAGTTATACATCAGTTAGAACACGGTTATATCAACTTTATGTCGACGGTCAGTAGATCCAATAAATTACCAGGGATTTATTTAAGAGATTCATATGTGATTAACGCTATTTGTGCTTACTTTTAATTTTGTAGATATGAACAACATATCGTTCCCACCAGTAGTAGCAGCCCCTCAACCTCAGATAAATGGGCCTGTATATGATTCCACAGGATTTCTGATGCCATATCCCAATCATTTTTCTTCAGATACCTTGCTATAATGAATATTCTGCTGTATAATATATGCTTAACCAAATATATACATACTTTAAAAATAATTTTACTTGTTTTCACCTTATTTCGATTAGTTGAAAATAATATGGCAACTATCCTGCAACCAATTTCGATTATGGTTAATTTTGGTTAAGCCCTTTTATTAACTTACTTAATAGACAATCTTATTTGAACAGTAACAATTCTCGTATTTCTTTATGCCGTTATGATCACTGGAGCACATGACAGACTAGCTAAAGTGTTGATTGCTTAGATATCACTCGATGATTCATCCTCCTCCCCGTATATAATGTACTCAAATCCTATTATTAGTCCTTGCTGCGCACTTATAGATTTGTCTCCGTATTTGCTCGCATATACTTATTCGCCTCTTCACTTCAGATTCGCTCGATGTGCTTATAGCTTTGTGGTTTGCGTTATCTGCCAATGTACTGTAGTTGCCGCTTCTCATTGCCTTCTGGTTTTAATAATCATTGAGATTTATATTATAACGGTTATCGAGGTGATCGATTAGCGAAGCAAAGCCACTACAATCAATTAAAAAAAGTTATAAGCGTGGATTTTATAATTTCGAAACATTTATTGGTGGGATCAGCACTTAACTATAAAGTAATCGATACCTTCATGGACTGGAATTTTAAATATTACATGCTAGCGAATCCAAAAATAGTTCAAAACGTGGAGATTTATCAAAATGGACAGATCTTAAGTTTTACCTTTCCACAAAACATTAATGTAGTGTTATTCATATGCATTTTCTATGGCAGTCTCAATAAATATATGCGATTCTACTAATTTAACTTTTCACATAATCGACGGGAAATACGAATTTCCAAACCTATTAGAACAGAAGGCCATATGAATGTTCACCAGCACTTTTTTACTGTATTTCCTGTTCTCACTAATGTCGTTAATTCAACATAGCGCACTATAAATAACAGGTTACAATTTGTATAAAATTAGGATCTTTTTCGTACTAAGTGTCGGTAATACGCTTATTACTAGTTTCACTAACTTATGGAGAAAAACATGATAGTTAATGAATTAAACTGAAGGTTAAAAGACTATAAATTTATCATGTAATGAATTCATAATAAATATGTGTATGGCTTTCATTTATTCCCCTATTTATAACACCTATTATTTCGATTCCTGTTTTGGGTCTTAACAATTTTGAGTACTGATTATTAGGAAGCCAATTTCTCGGCAATAATTTAAAACCTTAAAATATTGATTCACAGATGTTAACACTACTGATGATTTATCTGACAGATTTTCGTAAGTATATCAGTCGTTCGATCCGTGTTTTAACCTGCATGGTTGAACACAGACAGTAGTAGATGCCCAAGAACAGTCAGCTACAACGTTGGACCAGGCACATATATACATCGGTTCAAGTTGCCATACCGCATTAGCACAACAAGATGGACACCGGATTCATAAAAGTAGTTAATTCAGAGGTGGTAGTATATAAAAGAAAGATTGCAATAAGGATATAGTATAGGAAGAAAGAATTAGTTCGTAGAAAGAAGGATATGAAGCGATTTTAATCTCACGGTTTAAAGGAAGACAGAGAGTGTATACACCTACGCCATTGTGATCGATTCTGAGTCATGTCACCAAGAGTCTCCAACTATTGGTTACGATAGTCACGCGGACCCCAACCAAGTAGTCTGCATCTACCAACATGGCTCAGACTAGAAGTTAGTGACTTTAAGCACTGATGCCACATTTTGGTTTGGCCGCCCCTCACTTTCTTTCAACCATCCCGAACGCCGGTTAGCATTGCACGTCGTGGTAATCGGTGTTCAGGCATACGTAACACGTGGCCCAACCATCTCAGTCGATGAAGATTCACAACCTCATCGACTGATTTACCATCATTCCCTAATATCCTGCGTCTAACCTCACTATTACTTACCCACTGATCTCAGTAGATGCGAGCAATATTTCTAAGGCATCTATGACCAAATACTAGTAGTTAACGAGTATCTTCTACTCTTAATGACCACTACCAGGTCTGAAGTCAACTTGATTTTCTCGTGTTTGCAGTTCACGAGTCTTAGTTAGGCGTCGATCATTATCGAGGCTAGTATTTTAGATACTATATTAGTTGAACTAATCCCTCTATGGTTGTCACATGATTTTAACCCTCTCTTATATATTGGGACGATAAGTGATTGTGACCAGTCAGATGGGATTACGTCCAACTTTCAGATTTTAGCTAAAATATTAGAAAACCTAATCGCTAAAATTGGACCACCATCCTTAAAGACCTCTGGAGCCAATCCATATGGACCAGCTGCCCTTCCTCGTTTCAGATTAACTATAGCCTTTTGAACTTCTGCTAGAGTTGGAGGACCTACTTCAATGTTCCATTCACACTATCTGGGAATGGTGGGTAGTTGTAGAGTAGCTGAAGGGCAACCGAACTGTTCTCTGAAATGTTCCGCCCATCGTTCTAAACGTCTGGACTGAGAGCAGATGAGGGTCGTCTTTTTCCGAAATAGCCTGACTTACACTTGACTTATTAATTCCAATTTCTTTTATTAGTCTGTAGAGCTGTCTTGTGTTCTCTATAGCCGCCGCCTTTTCCATCTGTTTTGCTTTCGTTGCCCACCACTGCTCACGGTCGTTCCTTAGACTTTTGCTTAACCTAGATCTGATTTGTTTTCGCTCTTCATCGTGTTCACAGCCTGATGGGATGAGTTTACGAGAATCCATCAGTGCAATAGACCTTGAGGAAATCCATTGGTTCTTTGTAACCCTGTGGTTTAAATCATTGATAGACTTCACTGTTGTTTCCACAGCTGTTTGTATAGCTTCCCAAGCAACATCTGGGTCAACCTTGATTTCAAAACTACCTAAGTGTGACCTCAGTTGTTCCTGGAACCTACTTTCGGTTTTCTCGCTACTCAATTCAGTTCTAATGGGTCTTTTTAATGTGGCATTTTTGCGTCCAGTGAGGCGCAAGCAGATTCGTGCCCGTACTGGGGCATGGTCGGAGTCCAAGAAGGTACTCCAGAATGAGCGACAATCTTCTACCGACCCTCTCCAACGATGACTGATGGCAATATGGTCTATTTGAGTCCATCGTTGGTTTGGTGTAGGGGGTCACCGTGTTAGACGATGTCTCTCCTTATGCTTAAAATTGGTGTTTGCTAAAACTAAACGATTGTCTGAACACAGTTGCAGCAGACGATCACCATTATCTGTTCGCTGAGCCGGAATACTAAAATACCTACCTAAATGTCCTTCTGTTTGGTTTAAGCTACCTATCTGGGCATTAAAGTCACCTGCTACGAGTACTATGTCTGAACGTTTAGGTTTCTGAAGTTCAGAGAGCTTTCTGTAAAGTTCATCCGAGCTACAGTCAGTGGGAGCGTAGGCAGAAACGACAAAAAGACAATGACGTGTGTCCCTATCCTTCCGAGTTCTTACGGAGCCGTTCAGCTGAACAGCACATAAACGACTGTTAACGGGGATCCAACAACAGATTGTAAACAATGTCCACTCGAATTAAAATGACTTACTCCAGCCATCAACAAGTTAAAATAAAACTTATCAGACTACTTTTTCGCTTTACTATTGATGAAACCATTGACATACCTACAAGAGGTCCAAATCATATGCGCGGAAAATTCTATTCATCGTTTTCTCCTGCGATAGTTGTAGTGTCTTTATTTGCGAACCGTCACCGTTCTCTAGTGACCCTTTATCGATTTATTATCCGACCTTCCTTAATTATTGATCTGTAGTTTTTTAACCACCCCATAATCTCTTCATAGAATTAGCATCACATATGTGTATTTGCGATTTTACAGCGTCAAGAATGAAATCTGTGGGAAAAACCACTGTTTTTGCCTTTCAGTGGTGCACTGACGCGATCCACCATTTCCAAATGCAGCCACTCTATAGTGACAGTTATCTTAAACCAGTTCGTAAACGTAACCGAGAAGACACTGGCGCACGCATCTAAAGTGCTGACCGTCAATGTAAATTGGAAAATAATGTAGGGTAGGCAACTTATATTACTAACAGATCACAAATCCTAACTAACAGTCTTTGTTTCCAAATAAGGAGTATCCGGACCCTGCACTGGGAAGTAATGTTACTGGTTTCAGGTGTTGACGCACAGTACTGACGATGTAAAGATTTTGGACATTCTTATAATCATACAGCGGGCACCCGGACAAACTACAAACAAGGCTACGCTTGCTATAGTCCCGTCTTAAGTGGTTCTGCATCATTCCGGTAAATGGCCAGGCTAACAAAATAAAACGAATAACCAGGTACATTTAACAGGACTGACCATCATCTGTAAAGTTCAGACGGCTATACCGAAGATTTCTATGTATTGCAAATGCCTATGAAAAAGTTAACCCACTAACACTTCGATGGATAGAACCATGTCAATCTATTCCAAGCACTCAGATACTGTTTATATTAAGTCTGTTGCTGGTAACTGAATTCTGATCGAAGACGGACCCTTTTAGTAAACAATTCGACGAGCCATGTGCAGTACCGACAAAAACCTGAGAAAGTTCCAGCAACGCAAACATGCACAGGTTTCTGAGGCCATATTTCTGGACTTTTATACTTATTGCTAGTAGATCATTCAGAATTAACCTGATAGTGTTTATTAATTGAAAAGCAAATAACCTATCCTTTAAAGTCCTCCTGGGGCTCATATAGACGTTACTGGATGATATCACTAACACCCGTTTGGCGTCTTAAAACCCTTAGTCAAATGAACACTATATTTTAAGAAGGAAGGAGTAATAGTGTTTAATATCTTATAGTTCCCACTAATTTATCGGAAGATCCCTTGTAATACAATAGCGCAACAGGTAGAATTCAGTGAATTCTCTGGACAATGAATGGTGCGATGAAGATGGTTGACAATCGAAAATAACCGACAGGACATATATAGTATAAGCTAAACCGTATTACAAAGAGGGCGACTTGAATTTGTTGTAACGATCGGACAAGGACATTCGAATACGACATGTCACATCCAAAGATGATTGCCCACATGCAC